AAGTTGAGGATTTTTTTTAGCTTATCAATGTGCATACCTTTCGCGTATTTAATGAGAGTGGCCTACCTCTTCTCCGATCCTGATCCGACAGGATTTTTTCAATTTTGTTTCGTCTTTTCAGTGAAAGTTCATCAAAAAAGAGGGGCAAGAAAAAATGAATTGACGTGTAGTCAGTGGAAAAGTCTTTGACTGTTTTATCCTGTGATTAGTAAATTCTTAGTGTCATGTAATAAGTGGAAGAGCCTTTAAATGATCTATCTTGCCTTTAGTACATTCTAAGTTTAGCTACAAATTTCCTCATCTGACGGGGGAATAGTTGTCGACGATGCGATGCGCACTTCCGTTCCAGACGTCTACGCTTGCGGTGATGTATGCAGCGTAACATGGAGTGCACCGTCAGAGTACTGGAAGCAAGTATGTTAACATCCTCGAAACATTAAGCCTTCGATTTTATGCTGGAGTGTAGTCGTGGCTCCTGAACAATGCCCACCTTCAACAACTTTTTAGAGCGTAGTTACGGTGCACAATCATTTCTGTACAGAGCACACCACCTACGTTGCGAATGACACTTGTTGTGATAGAGAAATGTGGGTATCGAATGGTTGTAGCAGCTAACCAATTCCGACTTTATCACAGTGTCACACAATATCAAGATAGACTGTCAAGGCTACATTACTATCTCGAGGTAGACATCAGGGCTGACACTTACAGCAACATTCAAGTACCTACCTTGACTCAGCAATACGTCTGACGGCAGTATTGTTGCAGAATCCAACTCTTGCGGATTGTCGCTGGTTCAAGTGGTTTAACACAATGCGGTGCGTGATACGTGGATCCCCTGCATTGCAGGGCACACCCATAAATCACTGACTTGGGCCCATCATTCATGATAAAAATGGAAAGATCAAAAAATTGTGTTTGTCCTCTCAACCAATTAGTAAAACATGAAGGTGCACTCAAATTACCACGATACATCTGTCACAAATATCGACGACGGGAATGATTTCCACGAAGTTCTCGGATTGCCTTCTCTGGAACTGGGTTTGCGAATCGAGCGATTCGCAAACTATGACATCGGCCATAGCTCCTGAATCGAAACGCGGATAGTACATTGTCCAGACCAGCCAGGCCTTTCATACTCCGCGTAGGGCTAGTTGAAGACAGACTTCTGGGAGGATGAAAAGTCAGCCTCGTACATTCTTTGGATACCGTAATCAGTTCTCCTCTATTCTGAAGGAACAGAATGCTTGGCGCAAGTAAAAGAAGGATTGATCAACGCATGGGATTGCAAGAAATGTAGGTATAGTATTAGGTTGGTTCTACTGGGATCCACTCAAGAGCCTTTGCCAGTTTTTTTTTTATCTTGTGACGCAGGGTTCAAATAGGCGATCATGGACGGCATACATTTTTGTAGCAGAATTTTTATCATGTTCATTTCAAGTTCAGATGCGACTTTGGACACAAGCGCGACAGATGGGTGACTATTGTGCTAGGTCTATGATGTCGAATGGAGATGTTGAAAAAGATTTCTGTTTCGAGTTGTTCACTCACACTACTTCGTTTTTTGGCTTCAAGGTGAGGTATGCTCACATTGCGAGGGCCCCATCTCGATAAATGGTGGAACTGGGCCCCCACTTGCTACTTTAACATCTACTCTTATTTTCTCGACCATATATTGAAACTCATCCACACATACTGGTAGTATTGAGATTTTTTCTTCAGGAGTCGCTTGTCTGCGTGCTGAAGGCGACCTCAGTTATACAATTTTTCACCCGAACCATTACATGTCGCACTTCCAAAGCGGGGCCCATTGGGAGTCGTTGATTGTGGAGCCTCCGTGAGATATGAGGCGTGGATATCCTACGATTCACGTGCCCTGACAGTTTTTGTGTAAAAAGTAGTATTCGGCGTGCAAAGGCGGCTCAATAAAAAACCCTCGCAAAAAAATGGGACACGGCATATCGGTAACGAAATTAAGATCTTCTGGCCCTTCCAAAAACGAGACAGCGAATTCAGATTTGTTCGTTTTTTACTGAAGTTCTGAATGAAGAAGTTTTGAAATTGAGCAATTGTATGAGTAGTATCCAGTTCAGGTGATTTTTCTGGGCGATTTCAAGGGTGAGCGACAACCTGAAGGATGGTATACGATCGCAAATGGTAAGACTGTCAGAATTTCTGACAACTTGGGGCATGGCGCTTTGTTCGCCAAGCTTTAAGTCCCAATTAAGCCAGTTGATGAGCAGCGTCGTAATGCATATGCCTTTCATCCTCTAATATAATCTGCTACTTTTCATGTGCTAGTGGAACTCATAAGTAGAGTGGTTTTCATTGAGTTTAGAAGAGTGCTTAATTGAAGGAGTGTGAGTTGAGATTGTTTGATTGGGATTCTCAGACGGCTGGCGTTTAGAGTTTTGATAGCTCTCGAACGGATAAGTTTTACATGCTATTTACATGTATTTATGTTCGCGATTCGAACTGTCTATTTGAGATCAAATCTTGCTAGTGTCTGCGATGCTTGAAAACTTGTGTCTTGTGTCAAATTGTTTTTTTTTTGTTAGAATAATCGAGGAGGATCAGTTCGTTCAATGTATAATGTTCAATCATCGTGTGGTTGGAGCTGTGCTCGTTGGAGAGACTGATCTTGAGGCATTGTTTTGTTTCTCTATTTCTTTCCATTTTTAATACTTTCTTTCCTCAACAGTTCCGGTTGCCATGCTAACTTGCCTTTTTCAGGAAACCATTGAGAATCTTATCCTGAATAAAACCGACCTCGAAAGGATAGAAGAAAACTTCCTCGACCCTCAAATCGATATCGAAGATTATTTCGATTAGAGCCATTCACGACTCAATTTGCGATGGATGCATTTTTAACTAATTGCTATATCTTGTACCGGTGGATCTGTGTTTGAATTGATATTGATCTCTTCGGAGTCGAATTTGTGGAAGGGACACTTTTCCCGCTAAAATCAGTGTCGAATTTCCAGTAGGTTCACCTAAAATTATTGCGCGGTTTGCAGTGAAAACTCCCTGAAATTGAAAAATACGAGCCTCAAGCCGTTTTAAGACTGTGACAAGCGGTTCGCGCACACGGTCCGCAGCAGCCGCTAGGGCCCGCTGCCAGACTATCAGTATTGCGGGTGTTACGCAGGGTCAGGTACGGGTTGTGCAATTTTGACGAGGGGGTTGTATTTGGCCCCGACGGAATGGGTAGTAGTGTCGGCAGTTAGCACTGGACATTGTTGCCTGCTTGAGAGAGGTCGGGAACACTTAAATGCGTCAAAAAAGAGTCACTCTTTTCCATATTTAAAACGGAATAAATTACACATTGCTGAATTCAAAGCGAGTGATCCCAACTGGAAATTGAATAACGCGGTCCAATCCAACGAAAAAACTTTATAATGGCCTTCGAACCCCGATAACGTCAGAAGGTTTTCCTCAACAGGGAAGGCATTCAACTTCCCATGGAACTTTGAATTGAGACCCAGATATATCGATAGAGCTTCAAACGCTGATTACAAATATGGAAACTAAAACTGCAAAATGAACCTGCCAAGGAAGTTGTGAGCAGTCAAAGTTGGCTGAAGTAAAGCATTACATAGCCGTGTTAGCTTTCAGAGTCGCCCTGGAGCAGTGGCGGTGCTCTAACTCTACAGCCGCAGATCATGAGTTCCCTTCTCCTTTGGGTGCAAGTCTTGAAGGCACCACCGCTGGCTCACGGCGACTCTGAAAGCTTGCACGGTTCATACGTAATGCTTACTTCCAGCCAACTTTGACTGCTCACAACTTCCTTGGCAGGTTCATTTTGCAGTTTTAGTTTCCATATTTGTAATCAGCGTTTGAAGCTCTATCGATATATCTGGGTCTCAATTCAAAGTTCCATGGGAAGTTGAATGCCTCCCATGATTAGGGAACGTGGTGCACGGTTCGAGCTCAAAGAGGTCCTCGACTTGTCGTGGGCCATTACAGTGTTGTCAGAAACACTGGTCAAAAGGGTCGACGGACTACTTGAACTCGGTCCTTAAACCGCCTCAATTCGATGCTCTCGTCTGCGCTCTCTCGCCTTATCAGCGGCTCATGACCACTGTGATCTCACACATTCAAACTTTTGCCACACTGTATTGGCTCACCCACCTCGGAGTCCCTCCCCCTACAAGGCTTAGTCCTAGGGCTCTCACCTCCTTCCTTGGGATCTGTCCCCAATCCCCTGTGAGCTTCGCTGTTCAGCGGGACCACTGAAGAAAATTCTAGTAATCTGGAAACCAGCTTCAGGCTGGAGCCATTCCGATGGGCCCCCTTGAGTTTGGCGGTGATGCCAGGCGTCATATTTTGAGGACGATGGAGCAGTGGAGGCTAGCTTATGTGGGGGAGGGAGGAGGAGGAGGAACGGGACATGTAAGAAATGTTTTGCTGTACAACTTTCATCAAAGCGGCACCTTGCGTGATGATGATTTTGGTGGTGTTGTCATGGGCGAAGTGATTCGCCCCGTATAGTATCTGAGACAAGACCAAAAGCATTTTTTCACGTCAGCATACAGTGCGTTTCAAAAGTATAAAGCCACCCTTGAATGAAGCTGTTCCAAGTTAGAATGAAGGTTCCGTGATTTGATGAATAGTTTATCGAATTCAGCACGCTCTGAAACTATAGTAAACTTTGTTGTACAAACCACTATAAGCTAGAAACGGTTCCATAAGAAAATTTGAAAAACTCCCCTGTTTCAAAAGTATAAAGCCACCCCGGGCGAGTAGGCAACAGCGGTAAAAATTTTTGTTCCTGTTAACTCGTTTGGAGTTCTTTGGCCATAATTAGCACAAACACATTACGTCTTCAATATATCTCGTGGATCTACGTTTTCTTTGGAAGAGCAAGTTCGTGCGAGGACGTTACATCGAGCTGCCCATTCAAATCGCTCCATTGCTGCTCAACTTGGACGTTCTCAAAGCTGTATCGACATTTCTTTTGAGGAATCCAGCTTATCATGAAAGGAAAGATCCCTGAAAGGTCACGTGTTCTGCTTGAGTATTATATCCGCCATATTAAACGATCCCTTTCCAATTCTACTGCGACCATCAGTCAGATCCGATACGAGCTCTCCCTTTTTGCTTCGAAAAGTTCCATCTGGAGGGTCGCTAACTCTGCTCCAAATATCGTGCGACAATCCATGATGAAGACTCCACGTCCGGAACAGCATCACAAAGCACCTCGTCTCGAACTCGCCCGGAGGAACATGCGAACGAGTTGGGGTTCGGTAGGTGATTCTACGGGGGTAGGGAGACACTTTCATCATGACGTTTAGTTAATGGCTTGTAGTGTTCAGTTCATTTTCTGTGGTTGAAAGAACTTCAACTTAGACGGGCCGGATGGTCATCACAGATTCTGGAGAGATTTTAGCAAAGATCCGCTGGTATTTAGCAGGAGAGACTTCGGTGGTGGCGCATAGATGGTCTGAGCTGCATTCTACAGCGATGCTGTGCTCCCTCTGTCTTTCGTCTCGTGTCAAATGGACCCCAGTGAGAATCAGGATGCTTTTCTTAATGATCTTCTCTCGTTTCTGTGTGGAAGTCGTCGGCAAAACTTCATCTTTATGCACGATTACGCCACCATCCATCGCAGCCGGTCCACTCAACACCGGGTTTACGTCAACAAAATCAGTGTACTGGAATGGCCTGCTAGCAGCCTAGATCCAAATCCAATAAAAAACACCTGGGGTATCATTGTCCGACAGATATACGCGTATGGAAAGCAGTACAGTAACGTGGGAGACCTCAGACAGCCATCGAGACGTTTTCCTACCACCTGAATCCCGCTATACTTCTGAAGCTCACGGATAGTATGCCAAATGGTCTATTAAATCTCACTTCTAAAAAAGGAAGTCACGCTAGTTACTAATATTTACGATGTTCACTTTTTCTCTGGAAAAATAGAGTTATGTTGCAAGTGGCTTTATACTTTTGAAACAGGGGATATTTGGAAATCTTCTTATAAAAATGTATGTGAATCATTTTGTTTCCTGAAATAAAGAGAACAATGGTTTCCAAACACGCTGAATTCAATAAAGTTTATGGCAAGCCATGAAATACTCACCTTAACTCGGAAAGTTAGTTTTCATGGGTGGCTTTATACTTTTGAAACGCACTGTATTCTCTTGGATGTAAGTAGGTTAGGCTGTCATCGAAACGGCGTCAATCTATACTATGAGCCACAAGGCTTGAAATAGGCTAAATCGTAGTCGGGGAAAACCTGGCTCTTTAGGGGTGTTATGCACACGCAGATTCGCGAGCTTACGGGGACTCAGAGAAGCTCTGTCGTATTGCGAATAACTCACGTAGTCCAGACTGGCTCAACGGAGCAGTGTGTGTGATTAAACTAAACATCTAGTAAGCATTTAGAAAATCATATCTGTTCTATTCAGGCGCACATCATCGCTTGTGCAGGGACCTCGTTAATAGGATAGGCTAGGAAAAGGGGGGGGGCGGGTCGCGCTTCAAAGTCTTTCCGGACGCATCACTTAAAGGCAAGCACCGGGATAAGACTGGTGTATATGGGCGCTTCGTAGTGACGACTGAGCTGCGGAATGAACTGAAAGTGGAAAGGAAAAGAGAAATCATCGGAAACGCTAAAATTAAGGCCTTCACCTACTGTAACGTCGGATGTGGTACGATGGCGAGACAAGGCAGTAAAAGAAGACGAAAGGCCCGCCGTTTGAGAGAACACGCTGATCTCTATATCAGTAGCGGTGGGTGGAAAGTGTTGCAGTTGTAATGAGTTAGCGCCCTAGTCGTGCAATGTGGGCAACGAAGCTGGAACAGTCGGAGGTACGTACCCCAAAATTCCCTCGTGTTATCTATCCCTCCTATTAATCTGGCTAATCCCGGGATTTGCGTTTAAATCTGCTCTGTGGGCTGCCTTGTTTTAAGATATTCCAAAGAGTGCTGTCCGTATTGGATGCAATTAGCAAGAAATTGGGTGAGGGGAATAAGGGAGGTGTATCTCTGCTGAGAAGATGGCTCCTCGAAGAAAAATGGTGTTAAAGTAAAAAGTCGAGTGTGATAAAGTGAATAAATTAGTTAATGTGTGCGAGTGTTTTTTTTTTGCCTTTTTGAAACACTGTCGTAGCGGTAGTTCGAGTTGAGAGGTGCAACGCTTGACAACGTCTTCGTCGAACGCGTCTTGCGAGCTTTTTCTTTGCTTTCGTCGTAGAAGAACATAATCATGGAAGTAGGTTGTCATGGGTTTTCCACATAATCACTGTGCTGTAATTGATTTTTAATGAATAACTGTACTTCCTAACTTCGACTTGTCCTATTCCAGCGTGGATGGACTTTGTGTTATGTGGTCAACCTGTCCCTAGGCATTAATTTCTAGTCAATGATTTTGACCTTCGATCGAAAAAGTGTGTAAATGAGGATAGGTTAATATGGCAACAGGATTGAACCGTAAGGCGCCCAGTATGGATACGGAAGGATGCGCAGGACTTCTTACTTGCGATCAGATTTGCCGAATTCTCTTGCATAGATTTGGTTCTCCACTTCCCTGGTTTTATTTCCCGATTTATTGAATGGCTCCACTTCCTCCGAAACGAACGGGGTTCCTAAGTTTACGGGCTGCTGACCGGGTTCCTTTCGAAATCCGCAGTGTCCAGTACATTTACCTCTAGATTGTCGTCCACTGAAGCACACAAGCAAGCGCTGCATCATTCACTGGCCGATGATTGTTGATCGCGGAGGGGGGGGGGTGAGAGACACCTTGCCCGAGGACGGTTCATGCGGGTATGTTCCTATAAGAGGGTTTCAACAGTCAGGGTGGCAGGTGGTTAGGAGCTGCAGTGACCCGT